GGGGGTGTCCAGTGTGTGACGGCAAAGTGTCTGACTGCTTCACCACAGACGCCAGTCTATAGGCCTAATATGTTGCTGTTGAGGCTGAGTGGGGAGGTGGGGGGTCAGTTTTAACTGTTAGATTCTTTCTTCTATGCATTCCCGAGCAAGATCTAAAGGGTAGTCGACAGCTGGTTCTTCAACCTACAGTGAAATGATTTGTTTATATGTGACCGTTTTTCCTCTTTGGTAGGGCCCCTTAATGCCTTAAGACAGACACAGTCCCATTTCCAAGGTACTCTACATCATGGTTCTTTTTTCAAAGATAGAGCAGTAAGACGGGGTGGGGGCAGGAGAGGCAGTAGGAAGAGTAAGGATTGAGGGAAAGAAAGAGGCGGGTAGGAAAGGCAGTAGAAAGAGTAAGGATTGAGGGAGAGAAAGAGGGGGATAGGAAAGGCAGTAGAAAGAGTAAGGATTGAGGGAGAGAAAGAGGGGGGTAGGAAAGGCAGTAGAAAGAGTAAGGATTGAGGGAGAGAAAAGACTAGAGGCCAGGATAGTCGGGTAAGGGGGAGAGGGGGGGGGGAGGAAAGAAAGAAAGTGAAGATGAAAGTAGTTGACAGAACATGTCTCGAGAACAGAAAAAAGAGGTGAAAGTGAAAGGAGAACATTTGAAAAAAGAAAACACTTCTGTCGCTGCCAGGTTTCGAACCCAGGGCCTCTTCAAAGAGAGGCGAACACTGTAACCTCTTGACCACGAGAGCCCCTTTAATTAGAACAATAACAGACAAAATCTTCAGTTAGATGACATGATTTTATTATCACTTTATTGAGCATTAGACAACAGCTGTTGCAATAGACTACTGGACACTCAGTAATAATGCTCGACAAACAAAAGACACATTATCATTGTCACGCCCATGTCAACAAAAGAAGTAATCCCTGGAGGTTCTCGGCCAATAGCAAAAACAAAACGGAAAAACATAAACAAAAAACAACAACATTATAGCACATTCAATTTATAAAAAGTATGGCATTGTGGTGAAATCAGGCGCTCGTCAAAATAACAAAATTGGAGAAACTGACATTGCTCAGCCCATAGGCAATTTTTATTGATTTTTAAATTTTAAACATTTTATTTATTTTTCGGCTCAACACCTTTATGTCCATTTAAAAACACATTTCTGTGTGGATTTTACCGTACTAGAAAACATTGACCAAATGCACACAAAAAAAATAATTTGCAGTTTCTAAGGACTTTCAGGCTTGAAAGTCACAAATTTTAGCCGATATTTTCTCTCTGATTCTACCAGCGACCCCCACCTTCTTCAATTACAACTATCTCAACTTCTATTTAAGACAGAGGGGTATTTTTCAAAATATGATATCATGACTCCATACAGGGGCCCAAAAATGGACGAGCACCTCATTCCATTGTGTTGTCACACAAACAATATCTGAAATAGTTTTTCTTAAGAAAATAAATAACCGCACACGCGCACGCATGATCAATTGAATCATTCACGCAGGCATGCACATGCAAACACAAATACACCATATATACTCTTTAATGGTGGGAAAAGAAGAACAATCAAATAAAATGAACAGAAACAGTTACAGAGTAAGGGCAAATGAACAGACACAGTTAGTCACAGAGTAGTTGTATATAAAAAGAACTCTGGTCTCCAACATGCGACAGCGAAGCACCTAACCACTACACCACACACACTGATGACTGAAACTGTTAAATTACACGCCCACCCAGTATACCTATACCAAAAATTATCATATTATACCGGTACTCACAACTTTCAGAGATCATTCACACCAAACACTCCCAACACACAACACAATACGCTAAATGTTCCACCCAGAGAAGGTAAAAGACCAGACTTTCATCTGTCTCAGGCTGAGAAATCTTTGACTCAGATGAAAGCTGGAAATATGGAATAATAAAAATACATACACAAAACAACGGCAGATATTCATAATTTCCCTTGTGGTGGCAGTACTGCTGAGAAAAAGAACAAATCACAGAATCAAATAGAGTCAGGGAAAGAAATAACATTACTTGCAGGGCTTTCCACATCAATTTGTGCAAACAAATATTATCTTATCACCTTCTCATCCTTTCTTTCCACTTTCACAAAAAGATTTTTTAAAAACAACCAAAAAAACCCCAACCCTAAAACAAAACAAAAGCATCAGTCATTAGTGTAGATCTACTAGAAAATGTTTCAAACCAAAATCCACATCAGTCATTAGTGTAGATCTACTAGAAAATGTTTCAAACCAAAATCCACACAACATATTCGTTCAATCGTTCAAGACAAAATATCAAATGTCAAAATTCAAAAGGGAAATTCCATGACAACTGAGACAACAGCCAAACAGCGACACACATAATGCCGGCCGACCTGCTAAAGAAATTGTAAACAGTTATACACAGATTTTTTTTTGGGGTGTTAGAGGATGGCAGTCCCTCAACAACGAAATCTTAGAAAGAAAGGTTTTTTCACTGCTAAGAATTTTCCTCAATAGTTCATCGTCTCTACATTACGTGTGCCTCTGCAGTTTCATATTTCATGGAATGGCTCAGCACATTGTAGCGAGCACACGACTCGTTCATCGCATGTGGCGCACACACTTGGTCAGAATGTTTCACCATCGCAGACAACAAGCTGGCACATGTACGTATGCACGCACACACTCACACACACACTCTGCACACACACACACACACACACTGAACAAACCTTCACACACACTCTGCACACACACACACACACACACACACTGAACAAACCTTCACACACACTCTGCACACACACGCACACACTCACACACACACACTGTAAACACCGTCACACACAAAAAGCAATCATGTGAAGAAGTCGTCTCCCTCTGGCAAACACACTCTCCCACAATCACAGTCCTTGACCTGGCTGTAAAAGTCCCTGTGTATAGATCTCTCTTACCCATTGGCCTACAACCAGAACTCCACATGTGAAATCTGAAATTGTGCAGGAAAAACAAAAGAGCAAAACTCTACAGATCATTTTGTGCATCTTATAGACCACAATTTTGTCCAGTGATAAGCATAGATCATATATATAAAATCACACTGAAATAAGAGAAAAATAAACATGATAAGAATTTTAAATATATAAAATCACACTAAAAGAAGAGAAGAATCAACATGATAAGCATAAGACGAGCATATTGACACAATAAATGTCATTCTGTGCATACGACAAGACAGACAGACAGAAACAACCGAGGGAAAGAAAAGAAGTCAAACCTACCATGGCACCCTACAACCACCCACTACTTGATATTCATCATAAAATAAATTCACACAGAACATTGCGCTCTTCAAAAACATAGGTGATATGCAGAGTCCTCTTAAACTGAAATCTGTATCTGTGAGGCCGTCAGATTTTCTACCCTGTATCTGGGATTTCGGTTAGACCTTGTTTAAAGAGAAGAAGAAAAAATACAAGATTTCATTTTGTTTCGGTTTACCAACATTTTTGCATTGACCCTGATTAAGATTAAGCGGACCCTACCATATTGTCTAACGACCTTCAAGAATCAAGGACATTGCATCAGATAAAAGTATGTGTGCGTCTGCAAGTGGCTCCAGAAAACGACAAGGAAAAACAGCTCCACTAAAACACACAGCAAGTCGTCTGACAGATTGTGGAGTTCCACAGAAGGAAAACACATGATGCTCAAGTATTATGAGAGATGGGGACAGTCCGTAAAGGGAATATTGTCCAATAGAAAATATTGCAAATCCATATTTTTAGTCATGCCAAATCCTTTCATCCCTGCTACTTATCTCAAATTAGGTCTCTTAATTTATTCCCATGATATTAATATTAATGACATAATAATGCCATTAATGAGTTGTTGCTCACTGTACAACTATGAAGATAGAGATGGTAACCCTGATAATAAACTTGCCTAACTCTTTAAACCTTGAGTTTTTTCCACGGTTTCCCGGAGTTGTTTCTACAGTCCCCTAAACCTGGGGCACGATGTCTCATTAGAACCACAAAAGCTTGCCTCCAACTTCTAAGTGGCAGAAACAAAAGCTTAGTCATTCCTAAAAAACTTGGATGGGGAATAGTTCCGAAAAACAAGAAGAAACTGGCACTAAATGAAACGAAACAGTTGCCACTAGTATCAGACCCTCCCAGCATCTGATGGGTTGAAAGAGTTACTTAAATATGTTGCAGCACAGAGGAATCAGGCGTTCGTCAATGTTAAAGCAAATGGAGTTATTTTATTGCTATCCCATTGAAGCTTGTTTATTTTTTCTGGAAATTGGAGGGAAAGAAATTCATATATAT